TTTAATGTTATCAATATCATCATATGATTCGATGGTGGTGGTGGTGATACAATTTCAGTGGTAATATAAATTCAGAAGTAGTTGTTGTCATACATCTGTTTCTGTTTTTTATGATTGTTGTCCACAGTGGGTCTGATCCGGTGCCTGTGTGTGAGTCCATCAGGCACGTGGGTAGCCGTGGGTTTCTCCTCGGGCGTTGTGTCTGCCCTGGACGTCAGGACAGGCACCATCATCAAGATGTGGCGTGCACACGAGGGAGAGATCCTACAGGTAGTGGACAGGAATTTTTAAAAGATGTTTTCTGGTTTTTATCTCAGGGTTAAGAGGTATAGTTTTGGGTGTTTTGCTTGTGTGTTCATAGATGATTGAATGTAGTAGAGTGGCAGGAGGGGGATTTTAAACTGCTAGTAGCCATTATGATGAGTGAGATCTCTAGAGCTTCAAGACTGTATACATGTATGTCTTTAATATCTCTGTTATACAAGGCTTTTCAGGAATCAACCCATCCATTTTTCTCCACAGATGAAACCCTATGACAACAACAGCTTCATCTCCTCCTCAGTGGACCACAGTATTGTTCTTTGGCGAGGGTTTGATGGCAAAGCCACATGCTTGTTTAAAGGTAATGCATTCTGTTTACAGACAGCTTTGTTTTGGCAAAAGTGTTTTCTTCAATATCTATTCAAAGAGTTATACCAGCTGTGAAGATACAGTATAGTGATACAGAAATAAGGGAGGTACAGACAAAGTGGGAGAGAGAAAGACTCAGAAAATTTCCATAGACAGTTTCCATGTGAACTTAAAAACAAACAGTGTTGCTTCATCTCCATGATAGAATCCCCATACACTAATACAATGTATCTGCAAACAACGTACATGTTAGTGAGGGTTTATATAAGTAAATCTGTAATATCTTCTTACAATCAGGGGCTATGTGAGTTTCAATATGTTTTCTGACCTGAGTTGCACTGTTGTTCCCCAGGTCACAGTGAGCCAGCACATGCTCTGTGTCTGTACAACAACCAGGTGATTTCTGCCACAGCCTCCAACAAGATTGGCATTCACAGTGCCTTGAACAGTAAGGTAAGGTTCAACAAGATCTTTTAGTGGTATTGAATGACACTGTAATAGTTCCTGATTGTATTCAACCATGATAAGTATTACATGTAGACATTTGTACAAAATATACACCCTTCTGATGTTAGGGAACATCAAATCATACCTTCTCCATTTCTGTCACTAACTTCATTCAGATCAGTGAGAGAGCTACCAGCTGATCCAATTAATTTCGGGTAATCACATCGCAGTGAACATGGGAGCCAGTTCAGAACCTGGCACCACACCTCATGAAAAACTTATTTCTCATCAATAAGAAGCAAACAAAACAAATATCTGATAACTTGTGATTGTATGCAATCATGATGATTACACACTCTATTTCTCAAAAGAACATTTTTAGAGAGTTCTGGTATGAGATGCACTTGTATCTTAAATCCAAGATGTTATGTCTTTTTG